CTCTTTTCCAATGTGGGACTAAAGTTTTCCTCTACAAACCCAAGTTTTTAAGTTATAACTCCAACACTATATACATGAGAAAAAAAATCCAGTTGACTACTTATCTGATTGGTAAAAATTAGAAAAGCTACATGATCTCATGTGCAAAGATTATGGATCATGTTCAAGGTATCAAGTTTTGGGATAAAGAAGGGGTGGCTATGATATATTACCGAGATTCCAAAGAACAAATATACAAGTCATCAAGGCAGGGGGTTCCTTAGAGGTGTTCATCGATCATATCTGTTGGGCATTCAAAGAGATATTGTCATGCACTAGCACCAACAATTCCATGAGACCAAACACTCAAGAAGTAGATTCTATTTAGTTTTTTAGTATTAACTTTTCTCCTGATTGAGCTCATATGCACTTACAATCCTATCTGCATTTTGTCGAATTTTATAATCTATTTATCAGGAAGCACAAGCTCAAGAGAGTGTGGAGGGCCCAAGTGAAAGGAGAAAAAGGGGAAGGCCTAGAGGGAGTAAGAGTAGAATGAGAGAAGGGGAAGTTGACATGAGAAGAACTCAGACTCCAATTAACACCAGTATAAATCCTTCTAAAGAAAAGATCATTGGGAGGAGATATTTTTTTATAACTAATGTATTAATTGTTAAATATTAATTAAGTTGATTTACAATTTATTATTTCTTAAATTGACTTGTTTAACTAATTCTGGAGGTACGTCTCAAGTTCAAAATGTAACACAAGAGGCAGCTGGCAGAGGTAGAGGTAGAGCAAATATGCCCGTAGGTTATGGAATTGTGGCAGGGAGATCAAGGTGAGGTTATATTTGTAGATACATCTCAATCTCAACCGATTATCCTCACAAATCCGTCAGAATCTTATGCCTCCTCCCAGCAAGCAGAAGCCATGCATCCTACACAGTCCTCAAACGAGCTGTCATCTTGTTTTTTTTTTTTTTTTTTTTTTTTTAAAAAATGTTAATTTACGTGATATATGCATGCGAAGTTGGTGACGTTGTACAAACAAAGGTTACGTATGAAATTGTGTTTGTTTTGTGTTATCAAATACTTTGTCTCTTGTGGCAGCAATGGTTGTAACCCTAATGGAAGGACCTATATATATCAACGGCTACTAGTGCACGAAAACCATCTACAGCGTCGAGCTTGCCCCGATAGAACAATACCTCTTGGCCTGCTCGAGCAGACACCAACCTACAGCAAGAGAGCATCGTCACCAGCATGACATCTTCGTAGTTAGTTTCCTCCTCATAGACTGTAATAACGTACCTTGTCTCTACATAACAATATCACGCACTACGTTTCGAGTCCCGATGATATTCACCTTCAAATTCAACTGTGTATTCGTCACCGACGTCGCCCTCTCGATACCCTGATATCCACGGCAATGTAGTGACCGGAGGGAGATTTGACTTGAGCCTTAGTTAACGGGTTAAAAAGACGAATTATGCACCTCCAGATTCATGAACTAACTAAGAACCAACCATACTTGTTTTGTGCTGGTCCCGTACGTGATTCCTTGTAATTGTGACTTGATTTCTGAATTCAAAGCAATGCCAAGTTAATTCTCTACTTAACTTGCATCCCGGTTACTAAGAATATTTCCACTATAATAGCCCAGATATTTCAACATCTCCTGATAATCTTGTAGCTGCTTATCCTTATTATCATATACTATTGACTAAATGAGTTGTTTGACATATTCATTAAAAGGAAAAAAATGTTAATTTAAACGGATTAACAAATTATAAAGCAGCAGTTTAAGTATATGAATAATTTAAGCCCCCTCGTTAAGTATCGGAAATTAAACTAGAGTAAAAATTTTTTGAATTGCTCACTCGCGGGTCACATAACTATAAGGACAGATCAGCATGATTGGGATCATCTATGGAAATAGGAAAATGGAGAGGCTCTGAACGTTCGTTATGAGAATCGAAGTTGAGCGTGAACATACAATTATGGGCCGATTCCAGGACTCGCCCGTGTATTCAACGTCCCTAACAGAAACATTTTCAGAGAATCTATCTACAAAAGGGCAGAAAAAAAAGGTTAAATATCAGAAAACCCCCTTGGCATTGGATGATGATCAGATAACCCCCGTTATATTGAAAATGTCAGAGAACCCCTTTAACTTGAGATTTTAGCTAAATCACCCCGGAAAAGCATCACTTTTAGGGGAGTTTACTACTAAAATCTCAAAGTTTACGGGGGTTTTCTCATAGGTTTTCTCATAGGTTTTCTAATATTTTCGAAATTATGAAGGGTTATCCGATAATTGTCCAAAGCCAAGGAGGGTTTTCCGATATTTAGCTGGGAAAAGAGAAGCGCCCAACTCAGAAATAATACTTTGTATATCCGCAACTAACCATCTTACAAGTATTACTCAAGTTACCACAATAACAATCTTACTAGTATTATCACATGCAAATACAATCTTTACATTGATCAGCAAATTCCACAACATACTGTACGTAAAGCCTAACAAGTACTAAATATTCTACTTCTTATCATGGGGTATGAAATCCGTTCACAAACTTCATTTCGATTAATCTCGTCAGGCCTAAGAAGGCACTGGATCATACAAACTTTCATTTTGGGAAATGCATCAGCTACCTTTATAAGCAACCATAATACAAGCTTAGTTGTTGACGGACTTCTCCGCTTCTAAATCAAACAATCCACAGAGCTTGATCTGGCCGACGTCCATAACATGGATGATGAATAACTTAGCTGCTGAAAGGTGAAGACAGTTAATTTGAAAATCAACAGGAGCTGCTTTTACAAACAAAATCATGAAACTATCTTCAAACTTAATCTATAAAATCATTGTTCAGTGCTCTTTGGCATATAGCTCACAGAACTTACTCGCATTGTTAAGTCAGGATTAGCAAAGACAACATTGTTTGCAGGAATTCCTTAAAACCTTGTGGAAAGGGATAAACAAGGAAAACAAAGGTAGACCAGTGTTCTCCAACAGCAACCGATTATTTCTATTTTGCAAAATCTAGCATTTTGCCTGTGGTACTACGGCCTAAAATACATAAAATTTCCTATGTTAAGTCGCCATTTCTTCCAGATTTACCTGAGACTTTACTTAATACATCTAGAATTATCCAGGGCTCAGACCATCTTCGTCACAGGAGTTTAAATTGCATGATCAAGTCACTCTCTTGCACAATTTTGTAAGCCAGGAATCAGGTACCTAATTGCTTTTGAGCGCAAAATTTGGTTATGATTTGTGGGGATCCTTTTTAATTAACAGTTATTCACCATAATTTGACTAATTTAACAAAAAGACTAGGTAAGAATAAGGATAAAAAGTCTCAAACAAGGAGTTGAGCTTCTTACTCCTGAACACCTTCACTGGATTTTCTATATGGCATAAAACGGTGATCTTTTGAAGCATTCTTACGCCTCTTTTTCTCAATGAATGACTCGAGTTTTCCATGTGCCTGCAAATTGATGGTATGAGCAAAATGAAGGAAAACACTAATCACAAATTAGCTATCACTTAGAGGTGTACAATACCTTGAGGTCATCGAATTTCTTCACCAACTTCCTATTTTGGATTTCAGCTGCATACATAAATTATTAGTTTGAGAAAGAGAGCAATATTTCTTAAGTAATAATCTAAGTTAGCTAATCGCTAACCATGCTTCTTGAGATAATAGTGTCACTTCCCATGCTTTTCTCTGCATGGTATCTATTTGTGTGCATATGTTTGTATACTTGAGTATGTGTATATGTATGCGAGAGAGAGAGAGAGAGACCAACATTTTTTGAGGTAGTAAGGTCGCTTTCCGTCTTTTGCTGCTTCCCTTTCTTTCTTTATATGTTCGGAAACAATTTCAGATTCAACAGTTCGACGAGGAGCTGACTTTAACTGCTTGTCCTGAAGATTTTGTAGTTCAGGATCATCAAATTAACAATTTAAAGGGAAGGGAAAAATAAATAAAAACAAATAAATCTAGAGCACATACAGATTAGCGACTTATTTGCCAAAGACAGTTCAAACTCTAGAGGTCGCTCTATGTTTGCAGAGTTTGGAGCTGTATGCTCAGATTTTTTTTTTAATACAGAGAAAAGATAAAAAAAAATTAAAAACAACTTTCATGCCAAGAAAAAGAAAAAGAAAAAAGTTAAAACTCTGAAAGGTTTTTTCCGATATTTGTCTGCAGTGTGAACACTTAAATTTCTGCTTAATTAATAAAAAGTGAAATAAGAAAAGCTGGAGACATGAAAGAGTGCAAATAA